GATTTTAAAACACAATATATATTTTTTGTAACGGTTCACACGTGCTAACGTGCATGTAAAGTCGCATACACTTTCTTGTAAACACTAGTGTAATAACGATAGAGGTAGTCGGCTGATGCTGAAAGTGTGTAGGTGCTATGCCTGCTATGCCTTGTGCTGCAGAAAATTACAAAGAGGTGTGCACAGAGAATACACCTCAGCACAGCTTTCCAAGGCAAGAAAAACAGAGATGTCATAGTTTCTGGCAACGAACGCCTCGCACAGAGAGGTTAGCACAAGTAAACTTTTGGAAAGGGAGCAGCTTGGCATACTGTATATACATCTTCCTTGTTCCCTAGACTTATAAGTGATTACAAATTTTCATAGCATGTAAGAAATTTCTATTTTACAATTTTAAGCCAGGAACCAGCGTAGTGGGCGATAAAGGGATTTAATATACAAGACTTATTGCCACCCAGAGTGACCTACAATAATCCGCTGACACTTGCGAAGGATGGTCAGTTTACCGAGTATCAACACGATGAATCAAAGCATATTGCTCGCCCACCTATACACATAGAACGTGCAAATTGCGGGCATGTATATTCATTATCGATCAATAATTTAAATGTATTTGTGCTTGAATATGCACCTTTTGCTAACTATTTATTACATCTAGCTAAGAACCGACGTTATATACTGCTACTGATATATCTATACTTACACACAGGGCTAAGAAATGCTTTACACTCGCTCAGGAGGTCTGAATGGAAAATTTATACTTCTTTTGCATGGCAGCGGAAATTTGCTTCTATCATACTTTGCTAACTATTTATTACATCTAGCTAAGAACCGACGTTATGTACTGCTACTGATATATCTATACTTACACACAGGTCTAAGAAATGCTTTACACTCGCTCAGGAGGTCTGAATGAAAAATTTCTACTTCTTTTGCATGGCAGCGGAAATTTGCTTCTATCATACGGATATTATCTCCCCCATCGTGAGAGCACGATAGTTGTATATTAATAATTTATTACCCCAACAACGAGTAAGTTGTTCTTTATTTATTGATAGTACAGTAGACTCGCAACATCATTTATGAGTGCGAAATAGTTGAGTCTTTCCGTAAGCCCTTCATGTTTTGTACCTTCAAACGGTAGGGGTTCGCTTGAATGAATATTTATGAATTCTTTGAGACCTGGTCTCTGAGAGACACGCGTTCCGGGGAAATGTTCTTTTCTGACAATAGGTTGCAAACTATTATTCTCATCAGAAAGATCTCCATCACCATGGCAGTATGTCCTTCTCACTAAAGTTTTATCCTGCCGTATAGCAGTCGTTAAAGGCTTTTCAGCAATACATTGGTATAGAGGTACACATACATCCGCAACAAGTTTACCAGTGGGTACTTGTCACTTTTACGGTCGGCTGGTACAGGTATCATTAGCATATCTGTAAAC